GTACGAAGCCGCGTGCATCGATAAATCGGGCCGGGAAAACTATCGAGAGAATTTAATGAGCCGTGCCGGCTTTACTACCCCGCTCGGCTTTATTACCACTCCGTAATTTAACGTGCATCGATTTCTTGTCGTTGCAGGGAACTAAGTACGATAATTCATTAAACTTCGCTGTTTCTTGGTAACGAGAGCGTGTCCGAATCCGTTATCGTCCTTCTTTCATTTGCCTCTAATTGATACAAACATTACGGAGTCAATCGTATATTCCGTGGTTCCTTAATCCTCCTGATCTGCAATCTTAGTGATAATTATACTTGCATTGATTACTATGTTTGGAAACTGATACTATCTTCATAAACAATGCATTTCTCATCAAGCTCATAAAAAAAGTATCGCGTTGTTACGCAAGATTTAACATTTATTAAACTCCGCGGAGTAAGATAATTATCTATTTACGAGAAGTGGTTCGAGGATTATAGTTAACGTAAAATTTGATTATTATTGCATTTGTGTATACAGCGAAATATATCTTTTACTACGATATAACTTTTATGCGGTATAACACAAAAACGTATTTTGTATCGTGGTTGTTTAAATTTCAAACGGTTTAAACGGTGTTACCTGTGGTTCTCACGTCTAATATCATTTGCTTTATAAGCATCGTACGTCGCGATACACAAATAAGCGAGAGGATACTTAGAATGTTATTTCAGCCGAGACGCTCCAATCAAGTCCCTTATTATCGCGGTGAAAATCTGAGATGGGACTTGGCGTAACAGCTTATGAGGGTCCTCAGCGAGCTTAACGTTGGCTGTGTGATGAAGTGGGTGACCGGGGAAACTTTCTGACTACATATGCGAGGCCCACACCCGGCGATGTCCGAGTACAGCCGCATCGCGGCCAGCTCGCGAGACCTCGGAATAAATTGACCGACGTCGCCAATGGTGGTTGTTTATTTTCGAAATTAAATTGAATTGGCCCATAACTTGCCGGTCTATTAGCCCTGGGGACCAGGCTAGTTTGCTCGTAAATCTCCGGAGTATCGGAGCGGTGGCACACACGCATACACAACTACCCCGTCGCGCGTGTGCGTGCGCGTGTGTGTTCGCCGAACGGCAGGGTGTCGCGGGGTGGGTGTGGGTATTCGATTCGTCCCCGACAATGCGTCCGGAAGCTCCCAGGAAATACATGGGCGTGGTGCTGAGATAAATGTACTCTCGCATTTGCATACTTCTCGCCCTCACGGTCCCCATATCCTCCCGGCGGCGTTCGCTCCTCCGCTCAAGATTCTATCCGCACTTGTCTGCCTTTTCCCTTCTTCCCGTCGCCTCCTTATACCATCTTCCTATTTTACATCCGTCTTCCCGTTCCTTCCCGCTGGCTCATGTATCTTGTCGATCATATAATCGGGGATCTCAATATTGAACAGACGTATACACGCGACCGAAAGTGAGTACGACGACGACACGCAATGTCCAGAGTGCTAGTCGTCATGTTTACGATGTTTCACGAAGGAGATTATTTATCGAGGCAAAACGGTCTGGTCTGCTGAGGAAAAGTATTTCCTAACAGAATCTGTCGATCGCGTAGTCGAAGAATCGGTATTAAAACAAAAATCGATCGTACGAGAGCGAATTGGCCGTATTGTTCTTCACTTGAAGACCGGTGCTATTTAAAGAAGAATAAGAAGTACGAGGGCGAAAGATGAGCACGAGGGTTTCTTTGAACAATATCGATATCGATCATTGTACAAAGAAATCGTAACGGCGTGTTTTGAGTGAGAAATTGAAATAGTTGGATAAACGATCGAAACAACTGTTAGGTCGCTGTAGGCAGCGGGAAGTCCTCCGCTCGCGAGACAAATACGAGAACCGAAGGTAAACCGCCACAGTATTCCCGTGGGACACTCCTTTCGGAGAACGTCGGATGGATTTATTCATCCTGCTCGACTACTCGCTTGATTATCGGAACGAATCGAATAATTTCTGTCGTCCTCGCGCAGATGCATTGTGTTTGTCGGGAATATCTATATTTCGAATAATTTATCGAAATAAATGTGCGCGTATCTATTTATTTATTTCTCCATTTATTTGAGTAACATTTGAATTTAGCGATGGTGGTTCGAAACATTACATATTTAATAATTCCAAAGTGAATATAACAAATAAATCATAACAACATGTCTGGGACACTTTAATTTATGTCCATAT